TGATACTCCTGAGGCTCCTGGCAAAAGCACCTGTAGGAATATTCCCACAACTTGGGATGCAAAAGGAACTTTTCCAAAGTTGAACTAAAAGAAAAAACAAAAATCAAAACCAAACCCAAATTAAAAATTCCACAATGAGTAACACTCAGCAATAAAGGGCAAAATTAGAACTTCAAGGTGTCAACACAGTTGAATTATAATCTGAAGGAATATATAAACTATCTTTTAAAATGATTTCTTAAAAGGAAAGGAGAAAAGATAAAAAACAGAAAGAACTGTAAGGCCAGACAGCCATTATTGAAGTTTGATTTTGTGTCAGGCCATGTGAGGCACATTCTGTGGGTTTGGTGTTACTGGTAGCTTGAAAAATGAGAACAAAACAAAACCTAGAGGAGAATGTACATATGAGGGAATTTAGGGGTTATTTTTTCATTATTATTACTGACTTTTTAATTTTAGATATTTAGGTAAAACATGGCTTGTCACTGCATTGTCGCTAGGAAAGTTTTGCTAATGCACATTTAAGAGGCGAATGTAGAATATATAGCCAATAATTGTCATTCACAGAAGGAAGCAATGAAGCCCCTGAAGTTAGCTAAATGGTCCACAGCCTCTACTGCTCACCTGTACCTCCTGCTAGCATTTACCTCTGTAAGGTGACTTCTGAATTTCTTTTCTCAATGAGGGCTGCAATGCTAACAAACTTAGTTTTAAATAGAGGCTGAATATATTCATATGCAGGAAGCAAATACCCAAAAGAAGAGAATAGTTGAACTTTTAGATAGAAAGGAGATTACTAGGTCAATTAAGTACTTTATGTGGACATCAATTAAGTACTTTATGTGGACATGTTTTTAACTGGCTAATATCCCAATCTTTTCCTCTGTCTTTGATAACAATGGTGTGGTAGGTAATTTTATGTGTCAACTAGCCTGGGCCATGTACCCAGATATTTGGTCAAACACCCATCTTGAGATCCCCAGTGAAGGTGTTTTTAGATAAAATTAACACTTAAATCAGTAGACTTGAGTGAAGCAGATTAACCTCCATAATATGGGTGGGTCTCATCCAATTAGTTAAAGACCTTAAGAGAAAAAAGATCTCCCAAGGAAGGGAGGATTCCACCTCCAGATTGCCTTAAGAATTAAGCTGCCGGGGCGCCTGGGTGGCTCAGTCAGTTAAGCCTCTGACTTTGGCTCAGGTCATGATCTCACAGTTCATGGGTTCAAGCCCTGTGTCGGGCTCTGTGCTGACAGCCAGCTCAGAGCCTGGAGCCTGTTTCGATTCTGTGTCTCCCTCTCTTTCTGACCCTCTCCTGCTCACACTGCCTCTCTCTCTCTCTCAGAAATAAATAAAACATTAAAAAAAAATAGAATTGAGCTGCAAAATAAACTTCCCTCAGTCTCCAGCCTGTCAGCCTGCCCTGCAGATTTTGAATTTGCCAGCCTCTATAATCTCGTAAAGCAATTCCTTAAAATAAATCTCAGTTGATCTCTCTCTCCACCCCCCACCCCTTCCTCCCTCTCCTCTTGTGTGTGTATATCTATATCATATATATATGATATAGATAGATAGGTAGGTAGGTAGGTAGGTAGGTAGGTTTTGGTTCTTTTTCTCTGGAGAACCCTGACTAATATATATGGCAAATTTCATATTGGCTCCATTTCTTTGCTGCTTCCTCTATCTACAGTAATTTACATTTGACTTTGCAGTCTCTCCTATTGAAAATGGAATGTATTTTCCACTTCATAAGTTTGAGCTTGATCTTATGACTTGCTTTGACCCATGGGCTCTTAACAAATGTTATAGAAGCAGAGGCTTTAAAATGTGATTGTTTGATTTTGCTGCTTTCCTGCACCTCTACGATCTCCATCAGAAGACTATGTTCTGACTAGCCCAATGGCAGTTGGAGACAAGGGGACAGAGTTAACCCAGATCACTTAGGCCATTGTATGGGTGGCTGAAGCAAAGTATAGCTGAAGAAAAATATGAAATAAGGGCCAAGGCCAGTGTGTAAGTCATCCACATGAATATTAAAGTCCTACTTATTTTGTCTAGGAATTAAAGAAATGATCAGCCTCTCCTTGAAGGAGATACAGGCCTTAAAGATAAGACAAAAGTGAAAATCATACTGTGTTAAGGGTTAGGGAATACATTTCTGCTTGAATATTTTTTGAAGTTAATATTGAAAATATTATTTTCAGTAAAAAAGTACATAGTCCATAGAGTAATTTAAGTAACCCCTATACAGTTAGCTATGCAGGCAATAGAGCAAATTTAATGAAAATAAATTTGAACCTTTATCTTTGGGAAAATTTAATTCTGGAAATTAAGAGAACTTGACTATTGAAGAAGATTGTTGGTCAGATTCACTTTTCTTGTCAATCATATCTTGTTAATAGTTAACTGCATGGCACCACTTCCCCATAAGCCCAAACCAAGGTGTTTTGCTTGTGTTCTTACCAAATATTTACTGTCTAGGCACATTCACTTGATTTATTAATTTGAATTTAAGCTTTTCTTTAGGTGTCATTAACATCAGAGGTAAGCTTAGCAGGCAGTTTTAACACCTTATGTATCTCCTTCACATGTGTTTTGTTTCTTTTTTTTTTCAAAGAAGTGAAGGAAAATGATATTTTAATGATTAATGTTATATTAATAATGTTAAATTAATGTAAAATATTGTTTTGAAAATGTATGTGTAATCAAGCAAGATCAGGTGCTGAGAGTATTCCTGTCCTCGGAAAGACTAAATATACCACAATGCAAATAAATAATAAATGTATGGTTTGTCATATTGGAGAGTGAGTCAACTAAGAAATGTTACTTTCTGACAAAGCCAGAAACTTTCATAATTTAACTTATTTACTATATTTTCTTCCTGTTTAGTTCTCAAAATTTCCTTGTATTCCACTCAAATCTCATCCCTCATTGCAGAGCTTTGGACTAGAACCGTCTAATCATGAACTCCAAATTTTTTGTGTCAGTTGCATGACATTATTTAACTTTCCTAAAGTCTAGTTTCCTCAATTAGTAATGGGAGGGTAAAAAGAGAATTAACCAATCAGAAGGGTGCATAACAATCAAAACGCATACCACAGTACCTAGAGCCTGATGTATACTCAAATTTTAACTTTTACTTATTTATTTACTTTTAATTTGAGTATAGTTGACAATGTTACATTAGTTTTAACTGTACAACTTAGTGATTTGACAAGTCCATATATTGTGCTGTGCTCAGCACAAGTGTAACTCTTATCTGTCCTGTTCCCTTACTATTATAATATCATTGATTATATTCCTTATGCTGTGCCTTTTATTCTTGGGACTTATTCATTCTGTTACTGAAAGTCTATACCTCCCTCTCTCTCCTTCACCTATTTTGCCCAATCCCCACACCTCTCTGCTTTGGCAATTTGTTTTCTGTATTTATAGAAATAAATTTGTATTTATTTGTTTTGTTTTAGATTCCAGTTGTGGAGTAGAGTCAGATGTCATTTGTTTTTTTCAGTCTGACATTTCATTAGGTCCACCCATGTTGCCTCAAATGGCACAATTACATCCTTTAAATGTGTGTGTAATATTCCATTGCATATATGTAACACATTTTTCTTATCCATTTGTGTATTGATAGACACTTGGGTTTCTTCCATACCTTCGTTGTTGTAAATAATGTTGCGGTAAATATGGGGATGCATATATCTTTTCAGGTTAATCTTTCATCTTCTTTGGGTAAATACCTAATAGTGGAATTATTGAATCATAAGGTATGTCTGTTTTTAATTATTTGAGGAAACTCCATTTTGTTTTCTACAGTGTCTATACCAATTTACATTTTCAGCAACAGTGCATGAATGTTCCATTTTCTCCACATCCTTGCCAACACTTGTTATTTGTTGTCATTTTTATTTTATCCATTTACATGTGAACTTTGAACTGCCTTGATTATAATCACAGCTTATTATATCAACTGATTCTCTGTGAAGTCCAGGGAGGCAAGGATTCTCACTTCCCTTGTTTCTTTGCACACAAAATGTGTTCAACAAATATATATTGATATAACAAATATTTTTTGTTTTGTTTAATCCTGACTATGGTCAGGCTTTATCATCAATCCCAGTGTTTTTTGAATAGCCCTGCATTTCTCTAAGTTTCTTGGTACCAGGATTTCTTGTATATCAATTCCTTCCATTAAGTCAAATGATGAGATCTCACTTATCTTAGAACCATTCTCAACAGACTATTCTGTTGAATAGTCACTGTATTTTCCACATTCACTGTACCCACAGAAGTAATCAAAGCTTCGGAAGGAATCGCACTTTTAGGTAGAGGTGCTGGTTATATATTCCTAGTCCTATCGTTCAGTCTCCTTCTAATAACCCTGGCCATTCCCACTAATTATTATGGCTATTCTGATAGTAGTAAGGGGAAGTTGAGATTTAAAAAAAATGGGGTGCCTGGGTGTCTCAGTCATTTGGGCCTTTGACTTGGGCATCTGACTTTGGCTCAGGTCATGATCTCATTGCCGGTGAGTTCATGTCAGTGCTGACAGCTCAGAGACTGGAGCCTGCTTCAAATTCTGTGTCTCCCTCTCTCTCTGCCCCTCCCCTGCACTCGTTCAATCTCTCTCTCTCTCAAAAAAAATAAATAAATAAATAAATAAATAAATAATAAATAATATGTGTGTGTATGTGTGTGTGTATATACGTATATATATATATGTATATATATGTATATAATTTTTTTTTTTTTTAACCACAGCAGAGGTTGTGGCCTTCCAGGCTTGGTGGTAGGATGGACATTACAGAACATAAGAAATTAGTGTTATCTCTGCCTTCATGATAGTTTCCAATTTGTTCCCTTAATTCAACCCTTTAATATTTTCTCCCATTGTCCCCTCAGGAGCAGCCTCCTTCCCTACAACTTTCATTTCCTCTTTTGCACAAAGTTGATCTTTATTTCATGAATTTATTCCTTTTTTCTCTCTTTCCTCCACACAGCAACTATCATAATGATAAATTGAAGAGATCTGAATTCAGCTGTGAACAAGAGAAACTGGACTTTCCTTAAAACAGTAAGTCTAATGTTCTTAAGATACTTCATGACTCGAGAGTTTACACAACTGTTTGTTCCCATCTCTGCGCATGACTTTTGTAATGTCATCAAATTTCCTTGCCATGACAATAGGGTAAGGAACCCAGAAAATTAGTAATTAGTTTGGGGGGGGGATGATGGTGGTATTTTTTTGTTGTTTTGTTTTGTTTTCTTAATGTTATTGAATAAATCTTGATTCTCTTCATATTGCTCTTAAAAGAATTAGGGCCATTTATACTTATGAATACTTTTAGAATATTTGACACATCAGAAAAACAAAGGTGACTACTTGTTCTTTCCCCTTAAAGTGGATCTATATCAAGGAAACAAACGCACAGTATTTACAGCTTTTTCTTCCCCTGGCTGTCTTAGAAAATTTGTTTGCTGCCAGTCAATCAAGAAAAAAAATTCAACAAGTGTCACTGATGTGTAAGCCACCAAGAAGAATACAAAGAGTAACTTCAGGGGACATGTATTACATATCAGACACTTTCTTAGATGCTGCTGTAGAACTATTATACTCCACATATGAACCATAATTCCAGCATTTAGGATCTCACTGTATTGTCAGCTGACCTACTGTAACCCAACAAACAAATGTTCCACATTATGATTAATGATATATCAATGTCTAAACAAAATGAATGGAACACAGAAAAGGGGTGGCAGACCTAATCCATCAGCAGACTTCAGGAGGTCTTCAAGGAGGTAGAGTTCATTAGCCTGAAAAAAGACACTTTTGTGCCTTAACTGCATGAACAATAACAGGGAGGATGACTAGGCTGAGGAATTATAAAGCCAGGAAGCATGCATGCACTTAAGTTTTAAGAGAGGGAGAACACAGCCTGCAAAAGAAAATGGCTTAATGCAAAGCTTCCTGTCAACCATTTAGATTTTAGGAGAGACTCCAATTGCAAAGTCAGATTAGAACATTTACATGTTGTAGTATTTACCTAGATTAAAAAAGAAAATTACAGCATTACATACTCTATCAAAGATAGAAATTATATGTAAGAAAGGAAGATAAACATACATATTAAATGTACATATCATTATCCAAAGTTGCAGTGATCTGAGGCAACTATTGTAGACACTTAAATGTGTATCTTTCCATGTAGTGTTCTATGTAGATATATTTATAAACAAAATTAAAATGGATTATACTTTCCCATTTTTTCAGTGTTTTTATATAATAATATATTTTGAACAAAACTCTCCATCTATATTATTTTAAAGAACATGTTTATATAAGATACTTCTTATGCAATTCTTATTGTTGAACTATTTTTTTAACTTGTGAAATCTAAACATATATGTAATTATTCTGTGAGTTCTTAGATGTCTAGTTATTGGGTCTGAGAATACTTTAAAAATGGTTTTGTGTATTTTAATGACATTCCCATTGTGTAGTTTTCTAAATAAAAATGTAATGCATATTGCACATTGAAGTTATATCTTTAAAATAACTTCAACACAGAAATATATAAAGTAAAATATGAAAGTGCTATCCTTCAACACACTTGTTCTCAGTCTCTCTTTATAGCCCAACCCCACTACTGTTGTTAAGTGTTTGGTGTATAGTCTCTCAATCCTGTGTCCTTTATTCTATGTAATTGGAGCCTGTCTGTGTATGTGTCTGTGTATATAAGTGTGTGTGTAAAATAATGTGTGTAATTTATCATTTATAAAAATAACTATATTGTTTTTGAAATAATTCAGATCACAGGCATCTTTAATACCACTATATAAAATTTGAACTGATTCTTTTTAACTAAGGTGCAGTACTCCATGTTATAGATTGGTCCAACTCCATGAGCTTCAACCCTGGTTCATGTAATTTGAAAGAAATTTATATGAGAAAGATAAAGTAAAGCTGTTTTCCAAAGGTTTTAGATTTTAAACCTAAAATCCATTCAGAGATTAGTTACTGGATAAATTATCCTTTATATGGCTAAGCACAGATGTGATTAAAATCATAAAAATTAAAAAAAGAATCCTAGAATAGATGACTGTATTGATTTATTAAAGGTTTCAAAACAGAAATAATTTGGAAAACTAAATCTATACAAAGTGAAAAGATAAACCAAGAAAGTTTTCTGACCATGGTCTCTCTGAGGATGTGTACCCAATACACCTACACACACCCTGATTCCTGTAGGTGCAGTGCCATTTGGAGAGCCATTAGCAACAGGTAGAAGCAGGTGACTGTGCTGCAGTGTTAAAGGCACTTTTGTGTAAAAGGATTTGAAAGACTACAACTCCTTCTGTAGAACTTTATTCACTGTTAGAAAATAAATTTTTCCTCTCCAATTCTCAATTTCTTCATCTATAAATTTGGAATAATTGTAACATTTGTTCTGCCTTGCAAAACTGTTGTTGAAGTTCAGCTTTTATGAGCCTGTATGATGATGCAGATATAAGCTAACACATCTTCCAGTAAGATCTTGCATTGAAAGTTGCTATACGTCTGTATGTATGCATACATAATTATTAAATGATATAGATTATAGTAATACTTGCACTGTATTTAAGTGATTGATCACTCCTTAGGGCAGGCTTCCTATGAAATGTTCTATACCAATGTTATATTTCACATCAATCCACGTATCACTTTTTTGCCATAGTTTTTGGCTTTTGCATTATGATCAGCCCAACTGAAAAATCTTCTAAGTATTCTGGATGTTACTGTGTGGCAGTATAGTCAGTTTTTCACATGGCCAGTTAAGACATATTAGTAATATTCTTTGGGGCACCTGGGTGGCTCAGTTAGTTAAGCGTCCGACTTCAGGTCAGGTCATGATCTCGTGGTCTGTGGGTTTGAGCCCCGCGTCAGACTGTGCAGACAGCTAGCTCAGAGCCTAGAGCCTATTTCAGATTCTGCATCTCCCTCTATCTCTGCTCCTCCCCAGCTCATCCTCTGTCTTTCTCTGTCTCAATAAATAAACGGTAAAATTTTTTTTCAAAAAATGAAGAAAGACATATTAGTAACATTCCTTAAATTCCCTTATCAGCCTCAAAACCTTGTGTCTGCGGGATGAACTTTGAGAGAGGCAAAGTTAATATGGGCTGCTCATGAGCTTTTAGTAGGTGGAGACATGAGTTCCAAATCATGACCTCTTCTTTTTTCAGTGTTTTTTGTTTGTTTTGTTTGTATTATATTTTGTTTTTGCAATCTCCAGGAAATGCACCTAGCTAACTTACCCATTAAAAGTCTGAGATCAAGGTTTGTATATTTGATCAAATATATTTGATCAAATTTATATTCCCCTGAAATGTGAAGGGTTTTCAAAATATTTCATAATTATACTAAAGCACACATGGTTTGAAACTGAAATTTAGTCTCACTTCATTGGATTTGTAACAAAGCCATGTTCTATTATCATTATCTTTACTTTTAGATTAAACATGAGTATTTTCTCTGTATTATACAATTCTTAGATACCTAGAAGTATTGGCATGAATTCTAATATGAAGTCAAAATTCAGGATAGAGAATAACTGAACACATTCTATTTGTTGATATGAGTAACAGTTCAGAAGTAACATGTAGCAGATTTTACTGTGGAAAGAAATCAGGATAATTAATAAAATAATAAACAAAGACTGTGAGTAAATGAGCTCAACAAGAAGGACAAAGTTGCTGTGAGGGATGAGAATAAGTCACAGGGAGGAAATTTGAAGAACCTTAATTGCAACAGCAAATGCCATGTCCCTGTCTTCAAAAACAGGTAAGTTAACATTGTCAGTCTCTGCTGGCTAAGATGGGCTTGACTTCCAGTAGTTATCATCTGCAGATCTTGCTTTTAAAGCAATATATATATATATATATATATTAATTGAACCCTGGAGGAACTATGGTTTAGAAAAAGAAGGAGCTGAAACACTACAGAAGTCTGGAGAACTATTGAGCATGCGGAGGAGTGGATTTCATGGAGGATTTTGCCAGATCAGTTCACTTTTTACGTATCATTTTGAAAATTACACTAGAATAGTAGTGATTTCATGTTACTCCTTTCTGAGACCCGGTGTAGGGGGATATCAATGCATCTTAAAATTGCATAATGTTTCCTGAGCTATTCCTGTAAAAAGTATTTTATTAGTCAGCATGGCAGTGAAAAACAATTTATAAATGTACAGGACAAGTTGCAAAATGCACATTAGACATTAAACTAAAGAGTAGAGCCATTTAGAGAGTATGTAGGCTTTAAGTTCAGAAAGACAACACTTAAAAGCCACTCCTCACATTCACCTCTGTCCCTGACTGTCACTTAATGTACACTCTACCGTGCACAGTGGTGTCATCAGTCATGTTAATAGGCTGATATGCTAAATGGTGGGTGAGGTTTAAACTATTTATTATCAATAATAGTTCAAGCACACATTGCTTGTGAATGCATTACTTATTTTTAAATGAAGCAGGGTAGATTTACATTACATGCTTTCATTGAGATACCCTAATCGGAATGAGAAAAGCAAATACGGAATTTGAACTCATCAAGAATTGGACCCAACTTTGAATAAGATGTTGGAAATGAAATACATTGGAACGACAATATTAATGTTTGCTGTGTCTCCTGCCAATTGTAATATTTATCTCTCAGCTACGTAGAGTCTCTTGCCATTCTTTCATTTCATAAATCTGTCCTTTGAACTGAGTGTTCTTTGTGATTATACCTGTGCCACCTCCCATTAAAACTTAAATCATCAGCTTTCCCTGTATTTTCATGATTGCAAGGTATCTCTTCTCTATTCTCTGTGCAGAATGACTTTCTTTCTAAATATGTTATGAGTGCCTTATCATTGAACTTATTATGTTGGTATTGTTATTGTCTATCCATCTCATATAAGACTATGAAGTCCCTTCAATTTTAGATCTTACCTAGTTCAACTCTAGATACACAGATTTTAGCACAGGGCATTTGTATACTACCAGTAAGTGGAATATATATTAAGTATAATTAATTTTCTTGATTTTATGTAA